CCCACTGCACCTCCCTGCCTCCCTCCTTCCTCCCACTGCACCTCCCTCCCTCCCACTGTACCTCCCACTCACTGCACCTCCCTCCCTCCCACCGTCCCACTGCACCCCCCTCCCACCCTCCCACTCACTGCGCCTTGCTCTGGCCTCCCTCCCTCCCCTGAGTGGTTGGAGGGTCCACACTGGCGCATGGCCTGGAGTTTGGGGCAATGGCTTGGGCCTCTTCTATCTTACTGTTGTGTTCCTGAGCCCAGGATACTTCCTCTGTCACTTTGAAGCTTTGTCCCTCTTACTTCTGGATCCTGTTTCTGATAGCCTTAGTAAGGAATCTGTGCAGTCCCCGGGACTGCCTTTCTCCTGCCTACAGATGGGCCTGAGCTCTCGCCCTGCTGCCTTTTGCTTTGCCGTGTGCTGGCAGGGGGCTCCCAGCATCCTGGGCATCTGTTAGCGCCGCTGCGTCTGGCGGTTCAGGTGCCACGAGGCAAGGCTCCATGGCCACCCGCGTGGATGGTGCTCACGAGCTGTGCAGCACACAGCCTGCACGACCGCCCGTGCAGCCCTGCCCTTCTGTCCCTGAAGCGGCACAGCAGGCCAGCCCAGGGTCCCTGCTCACCACGGCAGCCTGGAGCGCCCAGCACGGAGGGCTGCGGGAAGGAACAGTGGCCAGGGCTCAGTCAGAGACGCTCTGCTCATATTAAAATAGACTGAAAAGTCATTCATACTTTATATAGAAAGACTGACGTGTTGAAACGCATAGTTAAGGTTTTTTAACTCATAAAATGGGCAAAGCTAGATAGAAATTAAATTTGTTTCCTATTTTTTTATGATGTTATTGAGAGACAAAATAGGATGGATAGAAGCATTGGAATACACGTGGATAAATATTAATTAGGAGGGCATTTCTTTGGTGAGTTAGCAATTTTGAAATGCCCGTTAATACTTTCTGACTTCCAAAGTATCATCTGTAAGAATTTATTTCATTTTAAACCATGTTGTTGTACTGAACGTTGTCCTAGTTGACTGGGAAAAAAAAAAATACACATCAAAATAATGCAGCACATATTTGCTAGGATCCACCAACTTAGGTCTTCACCATTCAGTTAGAAAAACAGCAAGGTATTAGATGCTCATTAGATGTTCTTTTTTTTTTAAACTATTTAGAATAAAGTTCATGTATTACATTAAATGTAATGTGGAAGATCCTTTTTATAATCAGTTTTCAGATGTTTTAAAATTAATGTGTGTTGAGGTACTTTCTGTTTTCAAATTTTAAAGGTAAGACTCTTCTTAATTTATTATTTCTTATTTTCAAAATTCTAGGATAAGACCAGCTTCATGTTGATTTAGGCCGGTGAGGGGGACCGTACTGGGTCTGTGGTTTCTGTGGGGGAGGGTGGTGTTTCTGTGTCTTTTGCTGTCTCCTCAGGGCTTTCCGAATAAACCAAGCCTTATCATCCCCTTGACACGCCCCCCCCACACACCCACACCCCCCACACGCCCACACACACACACGCGCACACATACGCGCGCACACACACACACACCCCTATCGTGAGTGAATGAACAGTCCCATCAAATAGCACTTTTCCATTGCCTGTGACCCTGTTGTTGTCAGGTACCATTGAGTCGGTTCCGACTCATAGCGACCCTGCGTACAACAGAAGGAAACACTGCCCAGTCCCGTGCCATCCTCACAATCGTTGTTACGTTTGAGCCCATTGTAGCAGCTGTGTCAGTCCATCTCCTTGAGGGTCTTCCTCTCTTTCGCTGACCCTTTACTTTACCAAGCATGATGTCCTTCTCCAGGCCCTGGTCCCTCCTGATAACATGTCCAAAGTACGTGAGACGAAGTCCCATCATTTCGCTTCAGTGATCCTAGCCACTTCAAATTCTAGACTTGAAATGTTCGCGCTGCTTGTCAGCCCAACCCTGTGAGCCTGACTGAGTGGGCTGAGCTGGTCTCGGGGGACACAGGGAGCGGAATGGCTGCCGGGTGGTCATCTTCCGCTCTCACCACAAGGCCAGAAGCCTATGGTTCTGTCGTACGTCTGTAGAAGTTACATATGGTTCACAGGGAGTGGGGATAGACTTCCACCAGAGAAACTGAGTGTTCGGAAAGCGGGGTTAAGTCTTTATTTTGTAGTCCTAGAATTCCACAAGATTACCTCGTAGGTGACTGAATTCAACTTTCTAAATCTGCATGCCTGTTAAAGCTGTAGTAAAATTGCTTCTGTAAGTCATGCATTAATAACTCAGGCATCAGAAACTGCCCTTGGCAGGGTGGAGGATGGGCAGTTGAAATGGGGTGGGGAAGAGAATTAAACATTACGTAAAGTTTTTGAGTAATTTTGCAGAACTGGGATAATTCTTTGGCTTTGATGTTTGTCTTATTATGAATAGTGCAGGTGAAGCCTTTACTTTGGAAAAACATTCTTTTTTCCATGTTTTTAAGACATTCTCCTGATAATTCATTGTTTGGCTACTGGAAAATTACCTAGTTATTTTACTGAGAAGTTTATCTCTTTATGATTCTAATTTTTCAAATCTAGAAATTTACTGTAATTTACCATAAAGATTATTAGTCTTGTAGGCCATCCAGGGGAATTTAATGGCTGCTGTAGGGTAGTGTAGGGTCCCTCGCCTTTATGAAAAGACTAAACTTCATTATAAGTTTTATATATTTATTAGAAATATCGCTAAGGTCATCCAGAGAATGAATTCTAAGACATTATCTTGAGAAGTTTTTTTTTTTTTAGTAACACTTCTTGGTTTTAAACGATATTTAACCTTAGTTATTTAACTTCATCCTGAATTGTTAACTCTGATTCACCCAAATCCAGGTAGTAGCAAATCCAAGTAATTGAAGATTATCTATGCAACATAAAGACTTGTTGTAAGCCATGGTAAAGATTTTATAACAGAGATTCCAGAGTTTATACATTGTGAGTTTTTTCATTATTGCTTAAAAAATTTGGTTTTCCTCCATTGAAATTGTTGTAAAAACCTGCACTACTTTTGTTTTATCTCTGTGAAATGTTGTGATAACAACACTTGCTCCTCTTAATGTGGATTTTTTTAAACAGTGAAAGTTATTTGAAATTAAGTTTAGTGAATTGATTAATGAACCCCATTGGATAATGCTCTTTTCAGTCCAAAATGAGCTGTAGTTACACAGTGATGAAACATTCCCATGTGATGTAGAAATTGATTTTGAGAGCAATTCCAAAGGAAATTGAGTATTTTGAAAATTTAATTTGATGATGTAGGTAAGTAGAACTTTATTTTCAGGAGAAAATAATTCTATTATTTAAAAAACTATGTTTGTTGTGTTGAACAGAGAAATGTGCTTCTACGTGAGACTTGTCTTCCTAAATCTGCCCACAGCAGGAACGTAGCTAAAACTAGTCCAGAAATGGTTACTAACTGTAGGTGGTTCATCAGGTGGACTTCAGTTACGTGGGGAGTGTGCATTCATGGGAAAAGGGTTTATCATCCGAGTCATTTGTTGTTTCTGGTAACGCTGCTCTGCGTTGATGTCTCAGTTTGTGTCTGCCGATTGTCCTCCTGAACTCTCTGAGGAGTGCTTTGAAGGAAAGACTCTATCGTTATCCCAGCATCTGTAACTCTAAACTATGTTTACGTATCCCAAGACTTCAAAATACTGATTTCTAAATGCATGTGCCTTTGAAAAGATACAAATCAATTATAACATTGGAGCCCTCGTGGCACAGCGGTTGAGAGCTACGGCGATCTACAGCTGCCAACCAAAAGGTCAGCAGTTCGAATCGACCGGCCACTCCTTGGAAACCCTATGGGGCAGTTCTCCTCTGTCCTGTAGGGTCACTATGAGTCAGAATCGACTGGACGGCAACAGGTTATTATAACTTTTATAACTCAGAAATTACAATTGACATGAATCTAAAATACGTAAGTGGATGGTAGGTACGTCTTTGTATTTGATAATAGCAGGAAAACTTTAAGAAAGTTGTTAGGAAATTTAAAAAAAATTTAGTTTCTTTGCTGATATCATATGCTTCTAAAAGGATGATAACTTCATATGTATTTTTGCAGGTAGCTCTTTTTGCAGTCATTCTCTGATCTTACTAATGACACCTGGAGTGTGTAGTTCTGTGTGGTTGTTAGGTGCTGCTGAGTCACAAAGCCCTAAAATTTTTAGTGTTTATCTTGCTTGCTGCCAGCTAATTAGTCATTTATTGATACTGTCTAACTGGTGTGAAAAATGAAAATGTCTGTCTTCACACATACATTATACATTCTGTCTGCCTCTATTAAATGTGAAATAAACCTCAGAGAGCGTCTTGTGTAATAATTTTTAACCCACGTTTTTACCACCCTACTTTAGTGGTTATTTTTATCTCTTCCCCAGCCACCTGTCCTTTCTTCCTTAACCAGGTTATCATTTTATTTGGAAAATAGTAATGGAGTTAGATTCTTGTGGAAACTCATGCCTAGGAAAATTAAAGCTAGATCATGTAGTTGGAGGTAAAGTATAGACTAAATTCCAGATTCCTTGTTTAAGTTGAGTGCTTTTCTAGTACATCACATGGATTTTAGACAAGACTGTTCTCTTCAGTATCTAAGTCTGATTCTTAGGTAATTGCCATCGTATGACATCAATTTTAAGAGCTGAGCTCTGGAATCAGACTTACTCTGATACTGCCCCTACCACTTGACTAGCTGGTGATGCTGGCAAGTGACTCGACTCTCTGTGTCTCGTTTTTCAAATCTTCAGAGACAGTAATGCCTAACCCCACACTGTAAGGCTGTTTAGGGGAGTAAGTGAGATAACACACTTGCAGCATTTTTGAATACGTTCACCAAATGGTAGCTGCGTTTGTTAGTGCTGTCATTTGTTGTTGTTGACATAGACGTGTCCAAGGGCAAAAAGCAGTCTGGCTAAGGATGGAGCCAGATCAGGCTGTAAAGATGCAGACGTAACTGAGAACAGGGAAATACAGCCTGATGCTTTGTGCTAGCATCACCTCATCAGGAGAACATGGGTAAGAATACTTGAGGATTTTTTAAGTTGGTGTAAGACATAGAAATAAACGTGTGTGGACATTTAAGTGAGGTGGGGGTTAGGGAGTTACTCTGAGAGTCTGAATTAAGGTAATTATTTTAACTAGAAAATCTTTACGTTGGAAACATGAGTAGTTGAAGCCAGCATCTTTCATCTGATGCACATTGTATTCGGCATTGGATGGAAAATTGTTATTTTCACTTAAGAATAGTTGGTTTTAACACTTGGTTCATTTATCTGAAATAATTTTCCTCTTCCTCTTTAGTAGTAATGTCCTCTCCGATTTGCAAGTTGAAAACACTAATTTATGAAGCAGTGACATACATGTAAGAGGAAACGGGACAGTTAGGGATAGTAAAGATATTTCCACTTAGGGAGGGAGAAAAGGAATGGCGTCAACGTATTCCTTGGACGTTTTTCCCCTTCAGTAATTACCCATGCTATGAAGCGCAAGAACGAGCTGATCGATCATGGCCCACTTTGCAGAGTATGTTGTTCTGAGACAACATAGACATTAGTCACACACACAAGGGTTTGTGTGTGCAGATTATTTTTTATTCTTTAAGATATCAAAGTTGTATTTCACTGGGGTGCAGCGTGTGAGTCCACCCTTTCCCTGTCTCTTTTTCTAGAAGTCCAGCGAGACAAGTCAGAGTGACACAAGTATCTCCTTGTCAGAACCAAAGAGCAAAAGCAGTCGCCACTTACCGGCCCAGGAAACAAAAATTGGGTCTTTCTTAAGTAACAAATCTTTAGACGTCAAAGACAAAGCTGGTATTTGTCCAGATGAAGATGATATGGAAGGAGACTCTTTCTTTGATGATCCTATTCCTAAACCAGAAAAAACTTACGGTTGGTGAGTGAACTGTGTTTTTGAATTATCGTACTACTTAGAAGTTAAAAATATATTTTCTAAGTGTTTTCACTTTATATTTAAAAGTATTAAGTCCATAGATTTGATTTTTGTCATGAAAGCCTTTTATGTCGTAAGATAATTCCAGGTTAAAAAAAAAAAGAGAGACTTAATTATTTCAGTAAATAAGTATATATTGTCACTATCTGTCTATCAGTTTGTTGTTTTGTGGTGGCTTGCATGTTGCTGTGATGTGGAAGTTATGCCACTAGTATTTCAAATACGAACTGGGTCACCCATGGTGGACAGGTTTCAGCAGAGCTTCCAGACTAAGATTAGGAAGAAAGGCTTGTGAATCCATCTCCAAAAATTAGCCCAGGAAAACCCTATGGATCACAACAGAACATTGTCCGACTGACTTGTCTCGAACACGTCATCAGGAAGGATCAATTGTTTGATGAAGTAGAGCACCAGCAAGAATGAGGGAGACCTTGGTGAAATGGGTTGGCACAACAGCTGCAGTAGTGAACTCAAATATGCTGACAGTCGTAAGGATGATTCCAGGGCAGCATTTCATTCTGGTGTACGTAAGGTCACTGTGAGTCAGAGTTGACTCATGGCAGCTCTCTGCCTAAGTAGGTATTGAATGCCTATCTGTGATGGTTAAGGTGGTGTGTCAACTTAGCCGGGCCATGATTCTTAGTGGTTTGATAGTCATATGATGTGTGATCACCTCCATGATGGGATCTGCTGTGAGTAGGCAGTCAGTTGAAAGGGAGTTTCCTTGGGCATGCGGCCTGCGTTGAATATAAGTGGACATTCTGTCAAGGCTCGTAGGCTTTTACTCATTCTGGATCCTGCAGCTGGCTCGTATTCCTCTGACCTCCAGTTCTTGGGACTTGAATTAGCAGCGTACCTCCGGTCTTGCCTGCCAATCTTGGGATTCATTGATCTTTGCAGCCTGTGAGCAACAGGTCTGCTCTCTGACCTGCCGATCTTGGGTTCGCCAACCCCTGTGGCTACATGAATCGGGAGAAGCCTCTATCCTGACCCACGGACTTGGGACATTCCAGCCTCTACAACCGTGTGAGCCATTTTCTTGATATAAATCTTTCTGTGTATGTATTTATACCCTTTACTGGTTTTGCGTCTCTAGAAAATTGTGCATTAATAGCATACCAGTTACTATGTCTTGCTCTCAGGGAGTTGGCATTCTTGTGGATGGAATTGGTGTTGTTGTTAGGTGCCGTCGAGTTGGTTCCCACCCCGTGTACAACAGAACGAAGCACTGCCCAGTCTTGTGCCATCCTCACAATCATTGCTATGATTGAGCCCACTGTTGCAGCTACTATGTCAGTCCATCTTGTCAAGGGTTTTCCTCTTTTTCGCTGACCCTCTGCTTTACAAAGCATGATGTCCTTCTCCAGGAACTGATCCCTTCTGATAACATGTCTAAAGTAAGCGAGAGGAAGTCTCGCTATCCTCGCTTCTAAGGAGCATTCTGGCTGTACTTCTTCCAAGACAGATTTGTTCGTTCTTTTGGCAGTCCATGGTATATTCAAAAGTCTTCACCAACACCACAATTCAAAGGTGTCAGTTCTTCTTCAGTCTTCCTTATTCATTGTCCAGCTTTTGCATGCATATGATGCAATTGAGAATACCATGGCTTGGGTCAGGCGCACCTTAGTCTTGAAGGCTACATCTTTGCTTTTCAACACTTTAAAGAGGTCTTTTGCAGCAGATTTGCCCAGTGCAATGCATCTTTTGATTTCTTGACTGCCGCTTCCATGGGTGTTGATTGTGGATCCAGGTAAAATGAAATTCTTGATAACTTCAATCTTCTCTCCATTTATCATGATGTTGCTTATTGGTCCAGTTGTGAGGATTTTCGTTTTTTTTCTTGTTGAGGTATAATCCCTGCTAACGGCTGTGGTCTTTGATCTTCATCAGTAAGTGCTTCAAATCCTCTTCACTTTCAGCAAGCAAGGTTGTGTCATCTGCATATCGCGGGTGGTTCATTAGTCTTCCTCCAATCCTCATGCCCTGTTCTTCTTCATCGAGTCCAGCTACTCGAATTATTTTCTCAGCATACAGACTGAAACTTGCTGTTGAAGGTAGAGTAGCTCAGGTGGACGGAGGAGATGATGCGGTGAAAGAGCTGGACAGAAGATTTCAAAGGGCAGCTCCAGGAGACAAAGTATAATGACACGTGCCAAAAGCTGGAGGTAGAAAACCAAAAGGGAAGAACTTGCTCGGCATTCCTCACAATGAAAGAACTGAAGAAAAAATTCAAGCCTCGAGTTGCAATACTGAAGGATTCTATAGGCAAAATGCTTGGTAGAGGGTCAGTGATAAAGAGGAAGACCCTCAAGGAGATGGATTGACACAGTGGCTGCAACAATGGGCTCAAGCACAGCAACGACTGTGAGGATGGCGCAGGACAGTGCAGTGTTTGGTTCTGTTGTGTGCGGGGTTGCTGTGAGTTGGAGCCAACTTGACGGGACCTAACAGCAACGTGGGCAGAGTACTGAATGATGCAGGAAGTATCAAAAGAACGTGTAAGGAATAAACAGTCACCGTACCAAAAAGAATTGGTCGACGTTCACCCATTTCAGGTGGGTGGAATTAGACAATGAATAATTAAAGTACAGCATGTCCAGTTGATCTCAGTAAGTGTATGGAGAACAAAACAGTATAGGGAGAGAGTGGGAGTGTGTGATCCATGTGCAGTTTTACGTGGTGTCAGAGAAGTCCTCACCTGGAGGAGGGCCTTACGTGGAGCGGGGGAGCCTCACCTGGATGGGTCTCACCTGGTAGAGGCCTCACCTGGTGGGTGTCATTTGAGCAAAGAGCTAACGGAGGTGAGAGAGTGCGCCGTGCAGACATCTGGGCTTAGAGAGCTCTAGGCAGAGGAAACAGCAAACACAAAGGTGTCTGGCAGGTGCAGAGCAGCAGGGAAGACAGTGTAGTTCGAGGAGAGAGCCCGAGGGGGAGCTGTAGGAGGTGAGTTGAGAGAGCTGGACGAGCAGAGGAAGGAGGGAGGTTGTGAACAGAGGAGTGACCTGACCCAGCCTACCTTGTGAGAGGCTTCCCTGGCTGCTGCGGGCAGAAGTGCAGGTGGAGGCTGTGCAGTAATCAGCGAGGTAAGATGGTGGAAGTGGTGAGAAACAGGTGGTTTCTGGGTGTATTTTGAGGTGAGATCCGAAAGGATTTGCTGACAAGTATTAGAGAAAGAAGTAGTATGAAGGAGAACTCCAGGGTTTATAGCCTGACTAGCTAGAAGGTTGGAAAACCGTTTTACTGAGGTAAAGACTGGAAAGCGCTGGATTGGGTTGCACAGGTGGGCCATGTGACAGTCTTAGAATTCACCTCCAGAATTGCCTTTTAGACATGCTAGGTGGGAGAAGGTTCTTAGTGGAAGTGTCAAGAAGGCTATTCAATCTATGAGTTTGGGGATTAAAGGAACGATATGGGCTTGAGATAGAAATTACGGAGTCACCAGTTTATACATAAGACAGGCTACCAAAACTGACTCAGGGAGAGAAGATCTGAATAAACCTATTACAAGTAAAGTAATTAGTAATTAAAATCTTCCCACAAAGGAAAGCTCAAGCCCTGGCGAATTTTACCAAATATATAAAGAAGAAATACAAACTTCCCCAAATACTCGTCCAGAAAATAGAAGAAGGAAAACTTCCCAACTCCTTCTGTGAGTTCAGAGACGTCACAGGAAAACTATACGGCAGTATCCCTCATTACTATAGATGCAATACCCTCGGTAAATATTAGTAAACCACCAACATACGAGAAGATTATACACCACGACCGAGTGGAATTTATCCCAGGAGTGTAAGATTTCTTTAACATCCAAAAATTAATTAATGTAATGTACCATATTAATACGATAAAGGACAAAAATCACATGATTATCTTAATTGACACAGAAATAGCATCTGTTAAAATCCAACACCCATTCATGATAAAATTTTAGCTAGGGATAGATAGGAACTTTCTGAACTTGCTAAAGGGTCTGTCATGGTTTGAATTATGTCCCCCCAAAAATGTGTGTATCAGTTTGGCTAGGCCATGATTCCTGGTACTGTGTGATTTTCCTGTACGTTGTAAACCTGCCTCTGTGATGTTAATGAGGGAGGATGGGTGGCAGTTGTGTTAGTAAGGCAGGACCTGATCTACAAGACTGGACTGTGTCCTGAGGCAATCTCTTGAGATATAAAAGACAGAAGTGAGCAGAGAGACAGGGGGACCTCATACCATCAAGAAAGCAGTGCCGGGAGCAGAGCGCATCCTTTGGACCGGGGTCCCTGTGCAGAGAAGCTCCTAGTCTGGGTGAATACTGATGAGAAGGCCGACAGAGAGAAAAAGCCTTCCCCTGGAGCTGACGCCCTGAATTTGGACTTTTAGCTTACTTTGACTGTGAGGAAATAAACTTCTCCTCGTTAAAACCATCCACTTGTGGTATTTCTGTTTTGGCAGCACTAGATGGCTAAGACAGGGCCTCAACTAAAAACCCATCACTAACATCAGAATTATTGGTAAAGGACTGACTCCCCCAGCCCCCTGGCTCAGGAACAAGACAAGAATGTCCTCACGACTTCGCTGGTGTATGAAGGTTCTAGCCAGTACAGTTACAATAAGGCAGTCTATCCTAGATAGCAAAGGAAGAACAAAACTGACTTTATTCGCAGAGGACATGATCCTGAATGTAGAAAATCCTAAGGAATGCCAAAAAAAAGAAAAAAAATCCGCTGGGATTAATAAATTAGTACAACAAGGTTTCAGGATACAAGATTACTATGTAAAAATTGCGTTTCTGTATACTAACGGTGAAGAATCCAAAAATGAAATCAAGAAAACAGTTTTCATTCACAATACATCAAAGAACTATCACTCTTAGAAATGAACTTGGCAAAAGAAGTACAAGAGTTGTACACTGAAAGTTACAGAGCATTAACTGCGTATTTTTTTCTGTTAGGAGAAGTGAACCCAGCAAGCAGGGGGGAAGCCTGGCATCGCTGTCTGATGCCCCACCCTTGAAGAGCGGGCTCAGCTCCCTTGCGGGAGCCCCGTCACTGAAAGACTCGGAAAGTAAGTGCCCTGGCAGCCCCTGAGATCTGTCCACTGAAGGTGTGCGCTTGGATGCTGATGGCGGTTCTTTCTTTAGTTCAATAGCGTATGATTGTGGTTTATTTTTTCAGAAAAATACATGTAAAAATAGCCTGTAATTTTATCACACAGAAATATTTCCTGTGAATATTTTGTTATATTTGCACAGTTTCTTTTTAAACACAACAATCATATTGTCTGTATCGTTTTGTATTATATCTTCTATGCCATTAAAATTTTTAGGTAATAGACTTTTTTAGTTGCCTTGTATTTTCTGTAGATACAGTTTTCAAACCGTTTCTCATCTGTTGGACATTGAGATTGATGTTAGTAGCTTAAATGCTCGATTAATTTTTTAAAATTTGCTTCATAGATTCTGTGATGCCAGTAATCATCATGGGAATGTTAATATTTATTCTGCTTTCAGGAATTTGGGTCTGACATATCTTTCTACATGTAGCAGAGATAGGGATTGCTGTCTAGAAAATAGAACAGCCAAGCTGCTGTACAGCTGACCTTCTGGCTCCCTCCCGTGCGCAGAATTAAAGAGCATAGCCTTAAGCATACTTCTGTAGATATGCAGATGAACTTTGCCTACTATGTAGTAGTAAATATAGGATTTAATGGGCACGGTGTTTGGCACATAAAAGTGTCTCTTTTGAGAAAGTTTCCTAAAAAAGTAAATCTGTACTTGAAATGTTGAGTGTCATTGGGCATGACTTGGTAGTGCTTCCTCACCGTTCCCGGGCGCGTGGTACCTCTCTGGATGTCTGGGACACCGTGGTGATGACGGGGCTGCTCCTGCCTGAGACCTTCCCCACAGCCGTGTAGACAGGAGTACCGTCCCTTCCGTTTTCTCCGCTTTTCCTTTCTCGTGGTTATTGCCACCTCCCATGAAGGAATCCAGGGTGCTCAGGTCTGAGGTCACGTTAACACTGTAGGGAACAGTGATTTAGAGAGGACGCTGACATTGAGGGACTAGAGAAATGAAACCACTGACATCAGTTTGACAGATGAAATACGATTAAGTTGAAGCAGCATTTAGAAGTTCAAAGGAAAGATAAAATTGATGGGAATAATTATAGTCCATGCATTCATACTAATGGGGCTTCTTGTAGAAGATGATGTCTTATCATTGGGCAGAAAGTGTTTTGATGGTTGTGTTCCAAGAAAGAGGGGTATTGTTTATGATTTAAAAAATTGGGGTGTAATCCATAAGTTAGAGGAGCCCTGGTGGCATAGGAGTTAAGCACTCGGCTGCTAACCAGAGGGTCGGCACTTGGAACCCACCAGCTGCTCTACGGGAGAAAGATGGCAGTATCTGCTTCTGTAAAATTACAGCCTTGGAAACCCTGTGGGGCGGTTCTGCTCTGTCCTGCTGGGTCCTGTGAGTCGGAATCGACACTGATGGCAGCGGGTTTGGTGTTTTTGGTTTGCGTAAGTGAAGCAACCGTTAGTTATTAGTTTGTGATTTTTCTTAGTTTTTAGGTTATGTTTCTGTCGTATAAAGAAGCCTCACACTAAAAAAAACAGTTTGACATGCTTTAGAAAATCTGTGTTCTAAAAGTCAGTTGAATGCTGCTGTTTTTCCTATTCACAGGTAAGAGGGGAGACGCAGTGTTGACAGATCTGAAGTTGGTCGGTGATAAGATTGGATCGCTTGGGTTAGGTAAGTGGATTTCCCCTGTTGATGGCTCTGGTGAAATCTTACGTGAGGTGACGCGGTCGGCCTGCCTCGAGCATCTTCCTGCCGTTCATGCAGCGGATGTTTGGACGGTGTTTATGTATCCAGGCTTGTACCATGTGCCACGGGTGTAGCGGGTCACTTCTCCAGGTGCACGGAGCACAGCCTGCTGGCAGACGGCTGGTGTAAAGGTGCTGAGAGGGGTCCGCGTTCAGTTGTTACGGCAGCACGCCGTTGGTGGGTGCTCAGGGCCCTGGGTTCTGTCCTGTGCCAAACAGCGGACCGGTGTGACAGATACACTCAGGCACGCTTCCGCAGCCCAGGCCGACCATCCTCTCTGGGGGACGTGAAGCGCGTCCTGGCACAGCAGTGGGTTCTCCCCAGTCTTGGCGCGCTTGGAGCAGCAGGGAGCGCAGCCTCACAGGCAGAGGCGGGCAGGAGGCTGCGCCTCGTCCTCTAGGCCATCTCAGTGCAGGCGTGTGCGTGGAGCACACGGGCTGGGTGGCTCAGAGCAGTGCCTGCACCCTCTGCTAGAGAGCGCCCTGGGTGGGGAGCATGGGCCTGGGCGGGAGTTGGATGATGGAGAGCTAAGGGCTCGGAGCAGTGCCCGCACCCTTTGCTAGAGCGCCCAGTCTGGGTGGGGAGCGTGGGCCTGGGCAGGAGACGGATGAAGCTCAAGCTGCCGATGTGGCTAACCCGCGGGGAAGGTGGTGAGCTAACCCCGGCTCTGTGTCCTCGTCTGTCCAGGGGAACTAATAACGTCTGCCTCGTTTAAAGAGTGCGTACAGTTTACGTAGATACACACCTGTACCTACCGATGCAGTGCTTGGCCGGACAGGTGCCTCGTACATGTTCGTTTCCTTGTGATGTTACTGTGTTCCCCCATTTGCAGCGTCGGCAAGAGAGTAGATGCTCCCCTGAGCTGCTGGATTCCGGTCCCTGCCGTGCGGCGCCGTGGACTCGCTGACTGCCCGCGTGGTGGTTGGGCGCCCGTGCAGTTGCTGCGTCCTCGCTGGCTGGCCGGCTGGGGGGCCTGCCCCGCTGCGGTCCCTGTGCCTGTGACGTGCACGTGCACCTCAGCCAGGCCTTCTTGGCCACAGCCTGGTGTAGACCCTGCTCCGTGTGGACCTTCAGACCTTTGAGGCCTGAGGTGGCTCTTGTTCCTTGGGGGTTTGTGTTTCGGGTCATTCTGTGGCCACACCACTCAGCTTCTCCCTGACTGTGCTGCTCTCTGTCTGATGGTATTGCAATAGTGTTGTTTTCCATTTTTCCGTTGTAAATGTACAGTATTCTAGGTATGTTAATCGAGCCCTGTGGTGGAACGGTTATGCTAACCGAAAGCCCACCCGGCAGCCCTGTGGGAGAAAGACCTGGCAGTCTGCTGCTGTGAAGATTACAGCCTAGAGAACCCTGTGGGACAGGTCTGCTCTGTAATAGGGCTGCGAGGTGGCCGTGAGTCTGCAGTGACCCGACGGCACCCAGCACCAGCTGTGTGAGATGATGTGTGAAGGTCCCTGGGTAACCTGGGGGGATAATGATGCTAGCGGGACGCGCCTGGCCCTGAGCCGGGACCTTCTTTATTCTTATCCCAAGGAGGGCTGTCGTGTTGTCTCCATTGCTGCAGATGCAGAGCCCAGTGCGGGCAGCAGCCTGAGACCATTGGCTGGTGGAGTCCTGGGGCATCACCAGGGCTGGTGCTGTTAACCACTGCGTCTTACGGCGATGTGCTATTCAGACATTTAGATCTTACGGCGCTGCGCTGTTCAGGCGTTTAGATCTCAGGGCGGTGCGCTGTTCAGGC